ACAAATCTCACTCTGTGCCAACCTAAAGACTAGTGTGCAGTTTTGCCAGTCGAAAGGGAAGTAGGTGATCTCAATAGCACAGGTACTGCGGTAGATGGCAGGGGGAAGCCAGTACATGGAGCCATCACTCCAAATCAGCACATTAGCGTAATATGCCACATCAAACTTGCCATCAATGCTGTAAAGAGAGTGGAAAAGAGGTGATTATGCCATTATTGTAGTAACAGAGAGATTAAAATGGAAAATTTACTGTTGTACTGCTAACTCACTTGTTTTCCAAAACTATATCTGGTAGCCACACAGTGTTGTATGGCACACGGATCAGATCAATGCCGTGATACTCAGATGTATTCCACGCAAGACGGTAGTCATGCCATTGCTGAAGAGCAGAAATGTGAAAGAAGGAAAGCAGGAATTAGCAGGACATAGAACAGAAAATGGAAACTATGTGAAGTGCAGAAAAAATACCGCATTAGCGAAGACATTTGTGTGAACAATGGAATGAACAAAAATTGAAGAGAGAAAAAAAAAAAAAAGAAGAAAATATGGAGAGATGATGCAGATGAGTAAGAAAACATAGCAGCGAATAGACATACCTATTCTTTAACCTCTTGTATTAACCCTTTTTTAAATATTTGACATTGAAATAAAAGATTTAGTTAAATGTGTAAGCAATCAGAGAACTTAAGTTCATTATTTCTTTGAAGCATCTTAGGGGCTGTCATGCAAGATGAGTTTTTGCATCCTGCTGTGCTACTTTTCTATTGTTTTTCTATGTAAACACTTGTGAGATAGACGTCTGACTGGTGGCGGTGTGTTCATGTCTTATGCTTGAGCAGCACATGTTTAGAGTGCCATGCCTAGTTCAACTGTAAAAAAGCTCAACTTTTGACAAATTTTAAGTCAGCATGAAATGTTCTCTAAATGCACGATGGATTGAGTTTACTGTGAATGATTCTTCAAAATATCTTAACTTGATGTTCAAGTGGAACATTAGACTTCTCTCTGCTGATATCCACTTAAATGGATAGTTCACCCAAAAATGAAAATTCTGTCATTAATTACTCTTCATCTTCGGAACACAAATGAAGGATATTTTATATTTTTGATAAAAGCTCTCTGACCCTTCATAGACAGCAAGGGTACTACCACAGTCAAGGCACAGAAACGTAGTAAGGACATTGTTAAAATAATCCATGTGACATCAGTGGTTTAACTGTAATTTTATTACACTACGAGAATACTTTTTGTGCACAAAGAAAACAAAAATAATGACTTTATTCAATGATTTCTTCTCTCCTAGGACAGTCCTCCGCCATTATCTAGAGAGTACCACGACGCTTGCCCATGCATTCTTCTGCTCGTAAACAAGGCGCAGTGTGTTCTACGTCAACAGCAGCGTGCGCATGCATCGTGGTATTCTCCATAATGGTGAAGAATTTGTTGAATATTACAATAATAGAAGAAAAAGTTATTTTTGTTTTTGCTCACAAAAAGTATACTTGTAGTTTCATAAAATTACAGTTAAACCACACAGATTTCATAAAAAATATCTTAATTTGTGTTCCGAAGATGAATGAAGGTCTAACAGGTTTGGAACGACATGAGGGTGAGCAATTAATGACAGAATTTTCATTTTTGGGTGAACTATCCCTTTTAACTCTGCCCCTTTCTAACAACTGACTGCAATATTACATTCAGATTGGCCTCAATCCAATCAACAAATGATGGGCAGAAAGAAAAGGTACCAGCCCTACATTTTTCCATAGTCTATAATTTGTTTTACTCAGTTGTAGATCAAAAAATGAAAAAAAGATCTGTTACACTGCAACACCGAAAGAAAAGAAAAATCACATTTTGTGTGAACGGCCCCTGGGTGGTCGTGTAAGATACTCACAATCTCAATCCAAACATTTGTAGTTAAAGTCTCCTCTTTTTCATTCTGCTCAGGAAGAGAAAGTTTCCAAATATACAAATCTGAATAAATAACTGGATAACACACACACACACACACACGTGTATTGTGTGTATATATATATATATATATACACAGTAGCAATGATGTACAAATTTCTCAAACAAATTTTTTGATATTTGTTATTTTAGCTAACATTTATTTTTGCCGGGATTTATTTCTGACATTTAGATAACAAGATATAATGTATTATATACGTTTGTTTACTAAAACTCACACTACTTGTCACTCTTAGCAGGTAGATTAGTTACCAAAGAGATGAGGTTGGTGAGAGTCAACTTGACCTGAACCTTGACTTTTTCATCAGGGTGTCTTGCTGGTCGAATATTTTTATTGTAGTTTTTAAACTTATCTGCGATTAACTGGGTCTCCTCATTTGCACTGACTGCAAAACGAAAGAATGAAAGACAGAAATGAGTTTTAAAACTTGCATACAAAAAGACTGTTTAGTAGACGAACAGAATTAATCTGTGAAAGTGTGAAAACTTAAGAGTTTAGAGATGTTATTATTAAACGTCCAAAAGGCCCATACAAGCAGCAGGCAGATTTATATCAATTATACTGCAGTTTTCAAACCATTTAACTTTTAATACGGGTTACAAGACTGCAAATCATAACAAAATATTCATAATATATATCAGCCATTTAAAACTTAACTGACTCAGCACTGTGAACCCAATACAAGTTGCAGTAATCCCTAAACAAAATGGTAATGTTTGTAACAGCTTTACATATCTAGCCTATATTAAAATGACCACAATATAGAAAAGACATAAATTATTACACAATTAAGTATAACGCTGCTTGCGGTTACAGTGCGACAGCAAGTGTGTTAAAGACGGAGAGTCGGTCACTCAGTTTTGAGGAAACAAAAGGGCACGTACCTTGTAATACAGTGGCCACGAGCGCAAACGCAACTATACACGTCCTACCGAACCGGTCGGCCATGGTCGCCAAAAGACCGTCTTAAAAGTTGGTAACAAAGAGACAGACACGTTATTTTCGAGTGATCAGTAACGGAGCTCTCTCTTCCCCTCACTGCTACAGCTGTCACTGCACGAGGCTCGAGTTACAGCGCGCTCTTAAAGTCACATTCACTAATCGCCAATATCATTATGCCTCTAATACGCGACAATGATGCAGATTCTGTACGTTACTTCTCTAGTATTACTGTTAGTGACCTCAGATACTATGAATAGAGGCAAAACATGCTGACGGGAGCGTCAATTTCAGGTGCCAATCGCAAGACTTTGGTTCCACTCACTGCTGCGCGAACCCATGGTGATGTTGAGAGTCGTGCATTTCTACGAGTATCATAATGGCTTAATACCGATAAGCATACGGTTATTGATAGTGTTGTTCACCCTCCGGGAATCGTGTTTCAGTCTGAAGAAATAAGCAATGTTAACAGGTGTACTGAGGGGCCGGCTGAAGGGCCATAGTGTTGATGTCTCCCATGAACATGGGTATAAATAACCAGTGTCTGTCTGAACATTGTGCCCTGCTGTGTATCTCCCTGGAACAAGGTAAATGCAGGGGTTAGGGAGTGTGTTTTGTATAATTTGCTTATAGGCTACACTGTAAGAAAAGTCTGTAAAAATAGGGCCCTATTTACAGGGCCCTACTGTGTTAACATAAAGGAATTTTCCATATTATTTTTTTTCACAGATGTATTTTGAAATACATAATGCATTGTGTTGTGTAGGGTTAAAGGAAATGTCCATAAACTTAACAGATAATGTCCTGGCAGAAAATTACCAGTATATTTTCCCTTGTTTCTTACAGTGTACATTGGGGCCAAAAGTTCTCACAAGGATAGTACCTGAAATCCCCTACACTGACAGGTAGCCAACAGTCCTCATGAGGAAAACAGCTTAGTACACACACTAGTAATCTCTTTATGAAAATATAAAATGCAATAAAGTTTGGCTTTAGAGTTAATGGATAGAAAATATCATTGAAGGGGTCATATGATGCTTTTTTAAAGATCATTATTTTGTGTATTTGGTGTAACAGAATATGTTGACATGCTTTAATGTTAAAAAAACACATTATTTTTCAAATACTGTACATTATTGTAGGTCCTCTATGCCCCGCCTCTCTCAAACGCTTCGTCTCTCTCTCGCGCTCTCTCTCTCTCTCTCGCTCTCTCTCTCTCTCTCTCTCTCGCTCTCTCTCTCTCTCGCTCGCGCTCTCTCTCTCTCTCTCTCTCGCGCTCTCTCTCTCGCTCGCTCTCTCTCTCTCGTGCTCTCTCTCTCTCTCGCTCGCTCGCTCTCTCTCTCTCTCGTGCTCTCTCTCTCGCTCGCTCTCTCTTGTAACACTCCAAAGAGAAAGGAAAACTTGAAATCGCATCATATGACCCCTTTAACTCAGCATAAAGCCAATAAAATTCAATGGAAAATGGTAGAAAATGTGTGCGTGTGTGTGAAAGGGAATGTAACAAAATAATTGTCAAAGTTTCTTTTTGTTCCCAGAAGGTCAAAAGTTCATAACTGTGAGTTATGAGAGATGCCTGAGTGGTGATATCATATACATAACTGTCCAGCGTGTCAGGTTTTAAATTATTTATGAAGTCCAGCACATACTGTGACAACTGACACTATAGGTTGGTTTAAAGCACGGCTGCACATCAAAGAGAGTATTTTTAATAAAATAGGTTCTATGATCTACAGGATTTTTCAGTAATCTTATGCACAGCAGGGCTGTGATGTCAGTCTCTTAACTTATATTATGACACACTCATGTTGTTTATTTCATGCATTTTTGTTTTGTTTACATCCTGTATGAGCCAAATAGCATAAATGTATTGCTTTGCCAGTTGCTGGCCACTGGGCTTAAGTGATACATGGTACATGGGCTTAAGTGTCACTGGATTGCAAAGCTCGTCGGTAGGCTTACCGGAGCATGAATTCCTGTCTCCTTTGTGTACTATTAATATGACCTGTAATTGAACCGTGTTCCATGTGGGTAACCGGAAACTCCACATCCGGGGAAACGTCTTTGACAAATGAGAATGTCCGAAATGCATATAAAACATTTTTTTGTTTAGATTTTCTACATTTATCTTACCATCATGTACTTATTATCTTGGGTCCACAGGTCTCAAAACAGATTCATTTCACCACTGAGCATGTAGCAAACATTCCAATTTGTCTGAATAGCCTCCTGCATGAATGTCCGAATGTTGGAGGATACTAGGGTTTGTCCTCAACCTCCTCCACATTTACTCCTTCTCTCTCTCTTCCTTCGGCTTGCTCCCTTTTTATCAGGGGTCACCACAGCGGAGTGATCCGCACAACGATTTGGCATGTTTTACGCCGGATGCCCTTCCAGCCGCAACCCAGCCCTGAGAGGGCACTAACTCGTGCAACCCCAGTGCTGGGATACACTCACTCACTCATACACACACACACACACACACACACACACACACACGCTCACTCACTATGGCCAATTTTACTTTTTCCACATTTATTCCTTCTAATGAATTCAAAAGTTTTTTTAATGTCGAGTAGGGGGAGCTCCAAGCTACACGCAAAAATAAGACGAACAAGAACAGCTTGCAACTGTATAGCTGTAGTTCTACTTTTTTAACAGTAGGCCTACTTTTTATTTAACACGATTATCACGAAATTTTAAGGACTTATATTTTTGAAATAAACACAATCATTATTTATGAGATATATATTTCAGCTTTTATAAATAGCTATATTTTCACGGTTTAAAAGTTTGACTGAAATGCTTGTATCGAATTATTTTATGTTCTACCAGTGATAAAACTGTGGTAGATGTTAGGTTTTGTGAAGAACTGGTAGGGAGCCTTTGAGCTTCTTTATGAAAACAGACTGTGTTTATAATTACTACTATATGTTTGAAGTTGAATTATGTTTTGTTGAGTTTTTATATTTGGACAGCGGTCACTGGGCTAGTTTTGTTGTGAAGACATGGCAACTCTGGTCCTGGGCCCCTGATTGAGAACCACAGCTGTGTACTGTTCTTGAATTGTATGTTACTTTGGAGATTGAAAAAAGTCTTGGTTAGATTACAGAATCTTCCAAACAGTGTTGGGAATCCAAAGTCCATTGTAGAAAATCTATGAAAAAATATCTAATGTGTTATATTAATAATGTATGAATGATAAGTTCATTTTTATGAAAAAAATACATCACTATATCTTTTACGTGGTTTCAACAAAAACATTTTTATTGATGTCTTTGCATTTAATATTCCATCTTTCGAGATAAGAATAATTTAATCATGAGGCGGGAAATGACATTGATAATCAGTAACCTGTAGCGTGCGTATGTGTGAGTTAATGATAGCCTTCAGATAATGTCACCCTTGATGAATGCCTGTGATTGCTTTTGTGTAAATGAACGGACGTCTATAAATCAGCAGTTGGGCCTAATATAGTGACACAGAGGCAAACTGCTAATGCCTTCAGCCATACTTACTCTGTCAAACTGGGGCATTGAAATTCATCAGCGTTCAAACCAGAGGGGTGGGTTTTTAGGGCATGACAGCTTTTTTAAGGTGCTCACTGACATTTCAGGTCACAGTGACTGTCCAGTGTCCAGCACTGGCCTTATCATTCAGTCCACCCAATTTGAATATACAAACATGATGGTCTCTTTTCATCAGCTTTACTATGATATACAAATATATAATACTAATCTAAGGTAATTAAAGAAGAAAACAAACCAACATTATTTAGTTGCCTAACCAGAATATTTAAATTCAACATTTGAATACAACGCATTTGAATTCAACATTTGAATGGGGACTTTGAATCTTTCAAATGAAGAAACTTCTCTTTTTCACTCAGAGATGCACATGTTGGGTAAATAAAAAACTTGGACCTTCCTTTGTGGATTCCAGGATTTCCCTATTTATTTGTGACATGTGTTGTACAAGTGTGTGCGTCTGAGTAAAGGTTACTGCAGGTTGCTTAGGGCTTGCCTAATAAGGAGTGATTTGTTGTTGCTGACTAATCTATGGACTCTGAGATTGCGCAACATCACTGGAGACTGACAATACAGACCGAGCAGGACAGGAGACGAAAGAAAGAAAGAAAGAAAAACAGCATAATGCAAAAATCAGCTTAACATAAGTTTGACCGGTGGACTAACCTTAGTATACAGGAAGAGAGGAGTAGCACAAAACAAGAAGTTACATACAGACTGTGTCGGCCTAGTAGTGTGAACACATGATGGCAAGAATTTGCTTGCCAACTTGTGGTTGAGTGAAGATTGAAACCCATTCAAAAACTGACAATCACACTGTGTAAGAGAAGAAAGGTACTGAGCACAGTGGTGTAAAGATGCTCAGGAGAGAGACTAGGAGCGCATAGACTGAGAAGGAAGTCGGGCCCCTGACGAGACGCAGCAAGGAGGAGGATAGTGGATCATTATGGGAGTCAAATGCAGGGCTTTTGTTGCCATTGTCTTCATCCTCCTTTTGCTTGGCTCCATGTGGCTCCGTAAGTTTTACCAGTTCTTTCTAAATGTTCCTTTAACAGACTGAATGTAATATATTTGGTTAGATTTTCTGACACACCAAAGCTACTTTATTTCACTGTGGGGTCAGGTTAATAGATTTTTTTGAGATACTGCTTTATTATTTCAGTGAATCTTGTTATTCAATCATTCAATATCAGTTTTGTTGATATTAAGTTATATCATTACATGTTACAGTAGAGCTGATTGACTATAACTCATCAAGAAAATAAACATATAAAGATGCTGAACAGACATTTTACCTGAATTCACATCTTAAATAGATTCATGAGAGAAGTTTGGTATCTGAAACAAATGCTCAATGCTTTAAAGATTTAGTGTATGATTCATTCATGAATCGGAATGATGTAATTCTCAAGTTCATCTCACTGGCTCAATAATGATTCAAAATTTTGTTTTCTATGAAATAAATAAAACATGTTTTAAACGACATGTGAATGAATAAACAATGACATAATTTGGAAGTAACTACTTGTATAATATTCAGAGAAATATTTACACTGGACAACTTTATCTCACGTAAGTAAGTAACACAGTTCACAGATCTCCTGGATGGGTTTATGTGAAAGCCTAATCAATTTACGATCCTGGCTTTCATTATTTTTTGAAAAACTTCACGAAATAATGAGTTTATGTGATGTAAATATATTAGCCTGCTATTTCTTCTGTCTTCCTGTTTAAAATGATTTATTCTCACACTACTCATCCTCTGTATCTCATTGTAGATGGGAATCTGGCGGACCACTGGAATACTTGTCCAAAGGTTTATAGTATGAAAAACAAGGTAAGAGTGGTGATACAACAGAGAACACAAAATAACGCAAGGCTTAAAGTGTCATTTTGAATCTACGCAGAGCTGCTAACAGAAACTTTGCCCATTCATTTTATGGCATCACCCTCCTCTGAAATCTGCCGTTACCTCACTTTTCCATTTCTTCTTGTTTTCGCAGATTCTGTCTTTCATTAGAGTTAATAGTTCAGATGACGATGTTTCTCCACTGAGGGTGTGTCCTGGCCAGAGGTTTCAAGTTGCTGATTTGCTGGCTCACCTGCAGGCAGCTCCAGTCTCAGCCAATGATGTTTTGCTAAAGCCGTACCTGGCAAGCTGGGATGAGCTTATCAAGCAAGTTAACTTAACACACATAATTGCATCTCATCATATAGCACGCTAAATAAGCCACATTCTATAATTAAGTCGAGCGAGAGTGCAGCATGATCGCGAGTGTAATGTTGCTTTTTTACAACACTTAAAACAACAACAAAATTGATAATCAGTAACTAAACACAGTATTGCAGGTTATTGAGTGTAATTCATTCCAACAACATATAGCCTATATTTTCGGTACAAAGGCAAAGCAAGAATAAATCGTTGTGCATCTTCAAGCATCACACTATAGTGGTCTTTTTGTTCGAAAATGAATCAATATGGTGTTGAACGAATCGGTTAAATTAATGAATCAATAATGACTCACTCAAAAGACAGCCACTTGTCGCCACCTACTGGCGTATTGGTGTAACTTTCAGAAAGATATACTAGCTACCTAGGTCTACTTTTCGCATACTATTTTATGAATACTGTGAATTCGGACACTCTTATACTAGGGATATATGCATTTTCGGATGCAGGGGCTGTAAAATCCTTACCAATAATGCAGAATCTGATTGTTTGGGTTGAACACGCAAACACAAACAAGCAGACTGATAAAAACAGTGAAAAGTCCAAGTGTGCTTAATAGACTGTATACACTATGTTGCCAAAAGTATTGGGACACGCCTTCTAATGAACACATTTGACTACTTTAGTCATTTCCATGAGTACAAATCTTAATGTTTCAGCATATAATGATATTCTAGGGAATTGGGTGCTTCTCATTTTATAGCAACAGTTTGGACAGGACCCTTTTCTATTCTAACATGACAGTGTCTCTGTGTATAAGGCAAGGTTCAAAAATAAATTATTGATTCAGTCAGTGTGGAAGAACTTGACTGGTCTGTAGAAAGCTGTACACCTCTTGTGTGACTTTAAATGCTGCCCTTGAGCCAAAAAAACATCACCAAACACCAATGACTTGTACATACACCATATGGACAAAAGTATTGGGACACCCCCTTCTTTAGAACAAGGGCACTTCCAAAACTGTGACAACAAAGATGGAAACAATTCATGTATTTAAAAATTGTATTTCCATCTCTGTTACAACAGTTTTGGAAGTGTCTAAAATGACTGTACCCATATGTACATGTCATTGGTGTTCGGTGATGAGATTTTGGCTCAAGGTCTGCATTTAAAGCCACACCAGAAGTGTTCAGCTGGGATTAGGACTTGGCTTTCTGCAGACCAGTCAAGTTCTTCCACACTGACTGAATCAATCATTTCTTTTTGAACCTATACACAGAGACATTGTCACGTTAGAATAGAAAAGGGTCCTGTCTAAACTGTTGCTTTAAAATTAGAAGCACACAATTCCCTAGAATATCATTATATGCTGAAACATTAAGATTTGTACTCATGGAAATTACTAAAGAAGTCAAACCTGTTAATTAGAAGCAGGTGTCCCAATAATTTTGGCAATATAGTGTATATTTTGGAATGCCAATTTTTAATGTATCTCATTTTTCTGTGCATTTAAGGTTTTTGGAAGCCTTGGGGCCAATGGTGGGTTTAATTTCACAAGAAATTGAGTCGAAAACTGCCATCATCCGGGACCTGGCCCAAAAAGCGGAGAAAGAGCCAGTGAAGAAAATGAAGGAAAGAAAAAGAACGCACCAGCAAAGCGACCCAGTCTTAATGATATCTCATAACAGCTCGTCAGATTACTCTGAAATGAATCACAGACTCTCATTTGGTTACACTTCTGTTCGGTCTATGATTAAATGGGAGCTGGAGAACGGTTTGGTGGACTTCCACAAGCAGACAAACTTGGGCTGCAGGACTCTGTTGCGCTTGCATCGTGCTCTGCTCTGGCTGCAAAATTTCCTGTTGGAACTGGGGAAGGACACAACTGAAGGACAGCATCTACGAAGCCCTTCTGACCTCTGCAAAGAGACTTACCAGCGCACACTGGCCCACCATCACACCTGGTGGGTAAGGAAAGCAGCGGAGCTGGCCTTTCTTGCTATGCCTGAACGACCTTATTTCTACCAGTTGGTGTGTGTGGAAACACAGGCAGAAGCTGCTGTGGTGCTGGACAGGATAGTGAGAGCAATAGAAGAAGTGTACGAGAGAAATGAAGTCGCTCTACAGGAACACGGCATGCTGGACCTACCCTGAGCGTAGAAATAAAGAGAGAGAAAATCATGGGAGTGGGACCAACCTAGAGAATAGGGCACTAAATTATAAGACTGGAGCTTTGAACCCTTAAGAGAAAAGAATGAAGACTGCTGGATAAATACTTATCCAGGCTGATTTATTTGGTCTTGCTTATATACCCAAAGAAAGATATGTTTTCTTAAAGATTTAGTGACCAATTTTCTTAAATTATTTGAACAAATTCATGACAACTGGAATGGGCCATTTTTATTCTTTATCTGCTTGTAAAAAAAAAGGTTGCCAAGTAAGAAAAAAAATAAAACAAACATTTCACTATTAAACTATTCAATTCACAATTACACTATTACAGTTTTGTTTTTAAAACAACTAAATATACAGTATACTGTTGGTGCTAATGAATGACCACTGTCCAATACTTGAGTACCTCTTGCATAAAGAGAACACAATAAACCAACAACACACATTTTTATAGTTACTAGGCAATGGATGAAAATTATGAACTGGTAAACATGCTGTGTTCAGTTCTGTGTTCAGTTTGGAGAAATTGGAGAAAGCCACGCATTGATTCTTGTGAAGATATAAGCAGTTTTCAGGTTTGCACCATAATAGTACTAGTCGATTTTGAAAGATGCATTAATGCATGCTCAGCAAATGGACAGATTAGTCCGAAGTCCTGTTTTAACAGAAGACCTTTTTTTACAATCCTTATGCTTATCAAAAACAGTTTTATAACGGCGTGACTGATACCTGATTGTTGTTCAGGGGATATTCTCACATGCACACCTACATTTATTTTGGTATCGTGACATAACAAATTAGATAGCAATCCAACTTCTTCTTTTTTTGGTATGTAAAAGTGGCTCTATATGTAGAGCACAGAGGTGTTTAGACAAGTCTGCTAAATTATATTAATAACTTAATAACTTAATTTTTTAATGCTGCTGACATGCACTATAGAAACATATGCAATATAAAATTAATGAGAGAATTTGACAATGAAAATATGAATGATTTGTTACAACAACAACATCAACATTAACAACAACAAAAAAGTACCAAACTGTCAAGTACCCTTTCAAAAGGTACACTTTAGGTAATATGTAATTTAAGTACTAATATGTACCATTTAGGGGTAAATAAGATACAGAGATGAACCTTTTAGTTTTTGTATGTCAGGGTATTTTCTGGGAGTGTATTGTATTAACATATGACATCATGTGGTTATGTCTCATTACATTGTCACATTATGTCACATATGTATATTATTCCAGGGAGCCAAAGCTAATGCAAATAAAGTAAGGTCTTCAAACCAAATCCATTTAAGAGACAACTCTTTGTAAAGTCTTACAGGCTGTTGTTACTAATGTGCATGAGCATAATTAATAAGGGCAATATTATACATGACATTGATATTCTCATATGGACAGTGGTAATAACCGGAAAGTGTGTGTAAATATATGTGTCTCTTTGTTTGTGTGTTTTTGAGAGAGACAGTGACCGTTTAAAACTGTATCCTTGTACTCTATCTTCTGCAATTCTACGTTATAATTCAGAAAATTATAAAGCAGATTATATTGATGAAGAGGAGACAGTGCTCTGTTGTTCATTTTTATTAGGTTTGTTATTTCAATTAATTAGTTTAAGCCTATGAACATATACAGTATAAGGTGTTTAACTTAATATAATGTCAGGTTCTCATTGTTCATCAAACATTTGAGCACAGTTTGCACAAGGTCCAGTGCTGTGTGAACACTGAGCCATATCAAATTAACTGCAGTTTTTGTTCTGTGATGTTGTTGAGGTGGTGAGTCTGTTCACACAGCCGACTCCATCTGTTCAAACACATCTAAACCACAGCATTTACTGTATACAAACGTTTTCAAAAGTTCCACTTTGACATGACTTGTATTGTCAATGTTAGTTTTATGAAACATAAAAGTTGCATACATTTTGGTATTTCAAAAGCTACAAAGAGGTCCAGATTAAAGTGATGATGATTTATTACATTCTTGGGCTGATTAAGTCTTGTGACCTCCTTGTATTTTATAAGCACTGCAAAGCTTAATATCGAGCCACATTCCCCAGCTTTTACATGCTTTTATTCATAAATGATCAACAAAAATAGAAATATAGGTTCTTTGAAAATATAAGATCTTTTCTATATTGCATGTGATTTTAAAATCCATATAGCCATTCTCATCTATAAACTTATTTAAATATTACAATAAATATTTCTCTTCATGATCAGCCAATCTAAAAAAAGATTGTTTTCTTTATACACTAAGGGGGCTCAAAATATAAATATATTGCTTTTCAGAAGATTCATTTATAATAAAACATGCTAATTCACTATAAATTGTGTACTTCACCAGTAGAAACAGTTGGTGGAGTGGGAGAGGCACAGCACAACTGTTACACTAGGGGCGCCATTGTCTCAAAGCCTGCATGCACCAAAAACTTCACTTATAATATATATATTATGTATTTATATATATATATATATATATATGGATTTTTTTTTCTCTTTTTCCCTTTTGTGCATGGTGTTACAAACCACATTTTCCAGGAAAAAATAACATATTTTTGACTTTTTTACTCCAGAGGGAACTAGTGTACAGTACAGGGTACAAGTTAATGATATGTGATCTGGGGCCTGAGGTAAATGAATATTTAATTCTGTTGATTTGAAGCTTTCTCTGCCGAGTCAGATAACAACCTTACCATGCACAAACATAAAATATGCAATATACAGGCACAGAAGTCAACACATGTGAAAGTGATCAAACGTGAAGAAGTGTTTAGTTGCTGAATATTTTTCAGTAAATGAGCTGACACAATTGATAGCTAGATAGATAGATAGATAGATAGATAGATAGATAGATAGATACTTTTGAGGAAATGTCGGTGTAAAGCACCATATCTATTTATGAGTGAGATTAAAGGATTAGGGCATTAGAGGAAGTGTACACACTTGTCAGTTCTATGACACAGAGTGTACTTTAACTCTCCACAAGACACTTCTCAGAATGGAGCATGAGGTGTGTGTACTCAGAGAGTGAGTTTAGGAGTTTAAAAAAAATGAGAAATGAGGTTGGTGACCACGTCTTTTGTTTTATTGACTCGTGCAGGGTAAGGACTGGGATGGATTCACTTCTGTCTTCCTTATCAGCAGAAACGTAAGCCTGCTGTTCCTGCTCTTAGAGCCTCTCTATCTCTCTCTCTATGGTTATGCTTAGAGTCACTTACAACAAAATCCAAAAAATATTTTAAATGAAATTTAAATGTGCACGAAGATTAACATAAATCAAATCAAATCAAATCAAAACACACATGCAGGAATCCACACATATTCTCTCACACACATATCAAACACACTTTTTCTATTTTCTATTTGTCAGATTTTAAACTGAACCCAGGCCTGCTGTCATCCTCTGAGCCGATGCAAATCAATACAAAACATCATATCCCCTCACCATGTGAGACAATTTGGAATACACATACAAAAAAAAAAGAAATTGCAAAATACTGCAAAGACCTATTTTTACATATAAACAATCTTAGACATGCCTCATGATAAATTAAATGTGACACACTTCATCATATGAAAGTACAGGCTGTGTCAAAAAATAGGAATGCAGAAATGTATCAGTGTTCTTGTGTGTGCTGGAGAGGACGTTCATCATGCACAGCATTAGCTACATGTTAGTTTAAAATATCCTCTTTACTTACAAAGTCACAAATCAGACAGAGGAGAGGTTTCAATCCCGCTCTTCAGAACTGATACACACATGCAAAAAATAAATAAATAAATAAATAAATAAATCCCAGCAGTCAAGAGATGCTCCAAACACACATGAGATCATGCCACATTAATTCATAGATACCTGCTTTAAAATTATAATAAATGATTTCTGTTGAATTAATACAGATACTGAGGGAAGAAAACAGCATATTTATTAGGAATTTCTCTCTCTCTTTTTTAATTATATCACTTTCTTAGTATTGTTTTAATAGAATATATTATTTGTAACAAATAGCTCCGATAGCTGAACATGCAATTCAAATTTTATGTTTCAGAAAATAAAAACTGTGATACACTCTTAAAAATAAAGGTGCTTCACGATGCCATAGAAGAACCTTTTTTGTCTAAATGGTTCCATAAAGAACCTTTAACATCTGAAGAACCTTTCTGTTTCACAAAAGATTCTTTGTAGCAAAAGAAAGTTCTTCAGATTATAAAAAGGTAAGAAAGAGATGATTCTTTAAAGAACCTTTGACTGAATGCTTCTTTGTGGATCCAAAAATGGTTCTTCTATGGCATCGATGTGAAGAACCTTTTAAGCACCTTAATTTTTAAGAGTGTACCTCAGCTCACACATGCAAACACACACACACACACACACACACACACACAAACACACACCCACACACACACACACACACACAGACACACACACACACACTCTGTATTTATCTGATCAAAAATGCAGTAAAATTATTACAATTTAAAATAACTGTTTTCTATTATAATTTATTTTAA